TTGACCTGACCTTCGCTACGCAACCCAAGGTCAAACTGATGTGATCAGTAAATACATCTTTTTAAACGCCACAACTTTTGTCTGAAACATTTTTTTGTAAAACTTATATTTTTCCTGATATTCGGGCGTCCCGGTACTTTCCGAACACCCTGTATAGTATAATTTTTATCAGAAATCTGTTACTATGTATAACTATGGATTTTTTCATAAAATTTGTTAATCAAATACTCTTTTGTTTTTTTAGAGATCCAAAAAGAATAAAGGTTTGGTTTACTATTGCTTCAAGTGTGCAAAAGCTAGTGCACATTTGCAAAACTTTGAAGACAAAGGCTAATATACAATTGTTCCTCCGATATATGCCCCAATTAATAAGACAATTTTTAAATCTTGGAATGCCAGTACTCGAACACAATTTGAAATATCAAACAAATTATGTAACTAGTATACTGAAAATGATGCAAGGTAGGAAAAATAACCTTTTCTTTTATAAAATATACACGTCTTATAATGCCATAATTTCAATAACATCCTACATAACATCGAATGTACATAGCATATTCCATGTATAAACATCTATGTATATTGCATATCCTATATATGTACACTATGGGTACATGTGGTATATACATACAGTGTCTGTACATCTGCAACCGCAAAGAGGTACATAGAATGTTCCATGCATATACATATGTATATACATATTCTTTACATATCCATGTATATACACTCTGTATATACATAATACATATATGCTAATATGCATTAGCACGTGTAACGTATATACATCAAACATACATTGTATATACATAATGTATGTAAAAAAATATTTGAATATACATAACCCAGACAGCACAAAATATTTATAAACTATATGTTCTTAGTTTTCACTTTATATTGTTTTACATCCTACTTAATTCAAGTTAAATTGTACTTCGAAAATTTCCTTATCTTTGCCGAGATTCGAACCTGAGACCTCTGGTTCTTGAGTCGTTCATCTTACCTACTGCACCACTGTTATTTTGACGCTTTATATTGTATATATATGGTATATCCATGTACGAAAACAAATGATTTATTTATTAGGACCTTGAATAAGTTCTCGCTGATTTTTCGTGAAAATTAATGCTTTATTTAAAAAAAAGTTGTAAAAAACATGTCACTAAAAGTATTGTCCATCGCTAGCCACTACTTTTTCTCGTCTTTCTGGCAGCATTTGAATTCCACGTCGAAAAAACGACACGTCTTTTGAGACTATCCACGAGTCGATCCATTTTTTGGCATCTTCATAAGAATGGAAGTGCTGCTCAGTCAGGCCATGTGCCATCGATCGGAACAAGTAATAATCGGAAGGGGCAATGTCTGGTGGGTGGGGAAGACGGCGGGTGGGATAAGACTTCTCATTTAAGCGTTTCTAAGTAGGTTTTCACCAGTTGTGCAACATGTGGCCGAGCATTGTCATGTTGCAAAATCATTTTGTCGTGTCTCTGCTCGTATAGCGGCCGTTTTTCCTTCAATGCTCGGCTCAAACGCATCAATTGTAGTCGATAGCGATCTCCCGTGATGGTTTCGTTCGGTTTGAGTAGCTCATAATAAACTACACCCAACTAATCCCACCAAATGCAGAGCTTCGAATCATGGATATTCGGCTTTGCCGACGATGTTGATGCATCGCCGGGCTTACTCCACGATCTTCTACGCTTAGGGTTATCGTAGTATATCCACTTTTCGTCGCCAGTCACGATACGATGTAAAAAACCTTTCCTTTTCTGCCGTTGAAGCAACTGTTCACACGTAAAAAGACGCCGTTCGACGTCTCTCGGCTTCAACTCGTACGGCACCCAATGTCCTTGTTTTTGAATCATTCCTAATACTTTCAAACGTTTCGAAACTGTTGTGTGATCAACTCCTAATGATTTTGCAAGTTCAGCTAGCGTCTGACACGAGTCTTCATGAAGTAATGCCTCTAATTCTTCGTCTTCAAAGTTTTTCGGTGCGCCAGAGCGTTCTTTATCTTCAACATCAAAATCATTATTTTTGAAGCGTCTAAACCAATCTCTGCATGTTGTTTCCAACAGAGCATGGTCGCCGTAAGTTTCAAAAAGAATTCTGTGTGCTTCAGGTACAGATTTTTTTTTAGTAAAGTAATGCAGTAAAATTCCCCGCAAATACTCTTTTTTTGGCACGAAATTCGACATGTTTAACACTATGAAAAAAAAAGTTGTTTACACTTTGGCGAAATGACACACTGAATTTCAAACTTGCTTATAGTACTTCCTTATAGATGCGTTACCTACACTACGATTCTTAAACTACACGTACACAGTTCTGGTAACGCTATTTGTTGGAAAATAGAACTTATTCAAGGTCCTGATAAAAGAAGAGAATAGATAATTTTAAATGTAAAATATATGTTTAAAAGTATGTAAAAAGTGTATTTAAAAAATATTTACTTGTTTTAAAACTAAATAAGATACTAATAAATCATTTTGTAAATTTAAATAAATTGTTTTCTGATAATAAAAGAAACTTCAATTTTTGAAATACAAAAAAAATGATACTTGTTATCTTGGAAGCTCCATGATGTGAAAAAACATCCTGTATATGCATTGTACATACATTTCATATACATAAGATGAATATACATGACGATATATACTATGTAAAGTATTAGTGATTTTAATATGTACATATCGTACATAATGTCGCATATATATTCCATGAATATATATATTTTGGAACATACTTCGATACATATTGCATGTACATACGTTAAAGGAAAATCGCGGTACATTTGCTATCCGTGATAAATGGTATATTCGGCATGTGTATGTACATGAATATACTGTGATGTACATCTATGATGTATATATCTTGATAGACTTAACATGTATACATCGTACATCATATCGTAAATATATTTTCTGGATATATATATGGTATGTTTGATAAGAGCGTGTACGGCAAAACTTTTTCCTCGAAACCGTTAGAGGGGGGGATATGAACGCGAGCCAATAGCGGGGCTCTTCTCCCAAGATGCTTTGTCTAGAAAGCCTTAGTTATCGTTTGACTTTCGTCACAAAAGGACGTATTTCAACATGAGTGTCGCGTACGCATCACGTTACGAAGCTGTGTTTCTATGTTCGCATCCGAAAGGACCAAAAATGTCACGCGGAGCGGCTGCTAAGTATATGAAGAAGTCTAAGACGTTTGTGAGTAAGTGGGTGAAACGTTATTCCGAGGTCAAAAACGTTGATGACTTGCCGGATCGTGGCTCTGTGCAGAAAACGACGAAAAAGGAGGACAAAATGATTTTACGGGTGTTTGAGAAGAATCCTTGTTTATCATTGCGTGGCGGGCAAGCGGTTTTACTTAAAAATGGTCTAAATATATCATGTCATACTATAAGAAGACGTTTACTGGCTCATAAAGTGAAATTTCGAAGCACGATAACGAAACCGTTGCTGTCTGAAAAACACGTCGAAAAAAGACTTGCTTGGGCAA